TTAGGTTTCTAATTTATGCATATTTTTTTTTCAAGTTGCATGAAGTTTGCACTTTTCCTTATTCTAAATTTTGTACTTTTATAGAATTTACTGAGAACCTATTTATTTTCAAGTTGATATATATTAAACTGACTTATTTTAATTAATATTCTACGATAAATATTACTTATGTGCATCAAGTTTATATTCTCATATTATTGATTTTAAAATACTAGTGTTTTTGTCCTTCAATGCTTTTAGAGTAATCTTCAAATGTTATCTAGAATCTTATCAATTAAAAATATCAAGGATTAACAATGAGAGCCCTTAACTGATTTATAAATGAAGTTAGGGTTGGAACTAAAATCTATTGATTTGAAATTACAGTCGACCAAATTCTATTTAGTCACTAAGGCCTATCATATCTTAACTTTTTGAAAATAAAATAAAATTTGAATTAACTTACTTCTTTTCAGAAAATTAATGATGCTCCTAAAAATTAATAGATAAAACTAACAAAAATGTAAATTTAATTTAATGATTATTTTGATTGTTTAATGAAAAATTTTTGGACTATTCATAACTTTTTTAATTATTTCTCAATATATTCTTTTTCTGTTGATCCTTATTGTAAAGCAGCCAAATAAGAATTCTTAGCTTCTAATTTCATTCCTAATTCGAATAGCGAATCAGCTTAAATTAATAAAGGATTAATACCTTTGAGTTTTAATCGGATAGGATTTATTGAAATTGAAAGAGCCTAATTATAACACACTAATGCTTTCTCGTATTGCTTTAACTTATGTAGAGCAAGACCTTATTTAAAATTTATTTTACCTTTATTTTAAAATGCTATATCATAATTAGGATTTATAGAAATGGCTTTTTCTAAACACTCAATAGCTTCTTAATATTTATTTAAATTCAGTAATGCAAAGCCTAAATACAAATATTTAAAGTATATCACCCTTATGGTTCCATGCATTTGAAAAATTAGGATCTATAGAAATAGCTTTGTCGAAACACTTAATTGCTTCTTAATATTTATTTAAATTATGTAAAGCAGATCCTATATAAAATATTTTAAGTTAAATTACCCTTATTATTCCACGACATATAATTATTAGGATTTAGAGAGATGGCTTTGTCGTAACACTCAATAGCTTCTTGATATTTATTTAAATTTTGTAATGCATAACCTATATATATATAAATATTAGTTATTATATTACCTTTATTGATCCATGCACTAGAAAATTTAGGATTTATAGAAATAGCTTTTTCGAAGCACTAAATAGCTTCTTAATATTTATTTTAATTATGTAATGCAAAACCTATATAAAAACATTTTAAATTAAATTACCCTTATTGTTCCAAGCAATAGAAAAATTAGGATTTATAGAAATAGCTTCTTCGAAACATTTAATGGCCTCTTAATATTTAGTTAAACTATTTAATGCAGAACCTATATGCAAATATTTAAATTATATTACCTTTTTTGTTCCATTCATTATAATTATTAGGATTTAAAGAAATGGCTTTGTCGTGACTCTCAATAGCATTTTGATATTTATATAAATTTTGTAATACAAAACCTTATTATAAATACTAAAAATGCTACCATTCCATTTATCAACATCATCTTGTTTATCAAATAGTTAGGTTGAGTTATTCAAAATATTTATGGCCTCTTAATCTTTTCGACTTTCAGTTAATTCATTATCTATTTTACTCTTTCATGAATTTTACTTTTATAAGATAATTATTATTCTTTTTCAGTTTCCTAAGTCGTTTCTTCTTCCTATTTTGGTTCTTAATTCAAAGTATTATTTTCTTCGGTAATTTGAATTTGATTATTGATAGGTGTTTATTGAGTTACCATAATTTTGATTGTATTAAGAATTTAATTGAATTCTATTATTTCATTTTCTATTAAAATTAAACAAAATGAAATACATATTTTTTTTTCTTTTTCTTTAGAGTAAAATTGTTTGATTTTGTTTATTTCTGACTTGAAAGTATTGTATTCTTAATTTAATAGGTTCTAATTCATATTCTCTAAGATTCTAATTTCTTGATCCATCTATTTTTAAATCTATTCAAAACAATTCTTCATTTGATTCATAATTTCATTCATTTATGTTTTATGTTGTATTAATACTTCTATGATTTAATTGATATATTAATTAATCGTGACAAATCGAAGACAATCATTTTAATGATCAGTATGACTCTAAGTCAAGCATAAAAAACAAAATTATGTTGCTTACTGGCAATTCGGGTTTAAGCAAAATCCCATGATATCTTCATTTTCATGATTTAGATATTTGCATTTAAAAATTTCCATTTTTATCTCAAAAATTAATAATTTATAGAACTTACTTCATGTCTTCCGATTATAAATTATAATTTTATAATAATTATATTGAATGCAGAAAAAGCAATGCGTAATTAAATAAAATTTTTTAAGATTATTTTTGATAAATTGATTTGCCGCAATTAATAATAATAAAGGCAGGCTTTTTCATAATTCAATCTATTTTTTCAATTAATATTAAATATAAAAAAAAGTTCTCTGAATCATTTTTGATTTAATAGAAATCTCTATTGATACCCATTTTTGTTATTGTTTAGAAAACATTGATTTAAGATCCTCAGTTTGTTCAAATCCGATTCCCTATTTGTGAGTTATCTAATTTGAGCTTTCTTCTAAATGTTATTTTTGAATCTTTGTTTAATTTTTGTATTCGTCTTTGGAACTCCTTTACAACTTCAAATATGCAGGAATTTTTTAGCCCATAGTAAACTACTTATATTTTCTTTTAAATTCTTAATAATGAGGTCCCTATCAAAATAACATAATATATTTCATCTATTTTTTTATTTTTTTAAAATTTGTTCATTTAGAACTCTCTCAGTTACATAAAAACAATACATGGTCTATTTCAAATGCACCTAATTTAAATCCTCTAAAGGGAATTAGTTCTCGATTAAAATAGGTGTATTTTATGGAGTTTTGAAAGAATAGCGAAGTATTGGTTTGCTTCATCTTCTAGGTGCTTGGAAAACAAATAGCACTTTATTAAACTCTATATCATGCTGACGAAATAACACTTATTAGAAAATCCGATATATACTGACCATCTATAACATTTTTTTTTGAAAAATTTTCAGTGCCTAAATAGGATGATATCGAAAACTCATCTAGAGGCTTCTCTCTTCTTCTTGAAATGTAAATTTTTAAGTAAATGAATTTTTAATTATTAAATGCTTATTTTAGTGAGGAGTAGTAGGGCATTTAGCTTTTAAGAAAAGCTGTCTAGTGTGATTTTGTTAAATAAAAGAAATTGGACACCTTTTTAAATTAGAACTCAGTTATGACCAATATTAATTCAAGCCTAGAGATTCTTTAGTTATTTTTGATTCTCCTAATTATGAAATTGAATTCTATTCCCGATAATTATAAGGAAATATTCAATCACTTGGTTCTATTATGCTTGAGTGAAGCTCCTCTTCCTTTCCGTAGATTATTTCATTTAGATGACTTTTGTATTGATGGAAAATGTAGAGACTTGTTTTGAAAATGCATATCCTCCATAATTAAACAACATTTATTGTACATGAATTTTAAAGTTGAAAAACTAATGGAAATGTGAAATGGTTATTAGATTCTATATGAAAGATGGCAGATGAAAATTTTAAATAAACCAAAATGTTAATATTTATCAAAAAATATTGATTTTAACTAAATCAAAAATAATTTCAAAAAAGATTCATTTAAAATGTAACCACTAGTGATTGAAGCAAAAATAATAGTTCCAAAAATTAGAAATAATTCAAAAGAGTCATGGTATTTGATTTATAATTGGAGAATAGCAAAATAAGTCAAACTATATCATATCATTTACTAAATGTATATGGCTATGGAAATTAGAAACAACGAGGATACAAAAAAATTTCAATATGTCAATGTATTTCGATAAACCTTTATTTATATAGAAGGGTAATGTACAGAAATCTAATATACAAACTTTATAATCAATTTATAGATGTTTATTGAATGAAGAATCACCTGAAGAATTATATATTATTGCTGCAAATTATTGAAGAAATGAGGTTGAGTGGAAGTGGAAAAGATTGTTCATGAATTACTTATTCAAGAGCAACTTTAACAGAAATTTTGTTTAATATCTCAAGTTGCAATTGATAAGTGCAACACAATTAAGTTCAAAAAAATAAATCTTAAATAGTTTACTATACTCTGTATTTTATTCTTAATATATATTTCTTTATAACTTTTTATCATTTTTATTAGTCTAGAACGAATGTAATTTTTTATTTACTTCTTAATAACACGTATCATAAGCCATTTTGATATTTCCTTGCATTTTATTTTAGTGATTGGATAAAAAATATTATTTTAAGATCTTAAATGTTAATTTAAATAAAAAAGATCCAAAATTTTAAGTATGTTCCCTTAAACTGATAGTTTTGTATATTTATAATAATAGCTTTATCTTCTCATCCCCATAAATTTTTTCATCAGTCTAATTATAAGTTCCAATTTGTGCAAATCAGCGTTATCAAAATATGCTAAATACAAAATTTATTAACTCTTCGCAATTATTCAAGTGATTAATTGTAATAAAGTTGTTTTCATTTCCTAATTATTTGGTATATAGTTTCATCTGTTTATGACTTTAATCTTTTGCTATCTTAACAATCATTAGTTAAATACCTTCATTTTTAGCGAATTTTAGCAAATATAGATTTCTTTTGA